CGGGCAGGACCGCAGGAGCCTCATGGCCCACGGATGCAGGGCAGGACCAGGCACCATTGACATTGTCTGAGCTACTCTACAACCTTTGGACCGGCTTCTTGCTGAGACACCATAATACAGAGCATTGCACTGCATGGGTTTATAGCAAAGTGGGTCAGAAGGAACACGTTAACCAGCAAGTTGTGCTTCCCCATGCCAGTCTCTCCTCCGGAGAATGGAGTGACACAGATCCTGTGCAAATATTGCTTATACGGACTTATTCTCAAACATATCTGTCACCCGGGTGTTTATTTACAAAGAGAGCATACATAGATCGTACATTAAGAGGATCAGTTCACTTCACCCAGAAACAATACTCACTTCTTTGCCTGTGATTACCATGGCCAAACAGCCCAGCAAGGTCAGTGCAATCATGATGTAGCAAACCTTTATCCTGACGCTGTTTCTTGCTGCGTCGAGGACCTCAGACCTGTGGAGGACAGAGCAGAGTTTCCATCCTGCAGCAGCATGTGTGAAATGAGATCATGGGGAGCTGGGTAATGAATCCGCAAGTCTTCCAGCAACTGCCTATTAATGTACAACGTGTTCAGCCTTCTCCTTCTGCAAGTGCTTAGAGGAGGACTCAAAAAATTAGCCTATGGGGGAAAGATTTAGCCACCCTCCCACACAGGTAGGGTATTGCTACTCCCAACAGTCATCAGCAACAACAGGAATAACAAATCCTGCTCTCCTGCCTTCTTTTATTGCATATGAGAGTGAACACCTGAAAAATGACAAGAACAGGAAAGTCTTTTCATCATGATAATGGAATTACAAGGGGCCCAGCTTTGGGTGTTGCAGGGCATGGGGTGCTGCACAACACCAGGAGACACTGGGGCTGTGCTACCAGGGTCAGGCAATGCCACCCGCAGTGGAATAAAAGCACACGCATGACATTTTGGCTAAGACCAACAGAGAGTTTTCACACAGTGAAGAGGCACAGCAAGCGGTGACTGGGTCTGTGGCCACATCCCCATCCCAGCTGCACGTGGTGCTTTGCAGCCCTGTCCCGCTGCAGTGTAGCCCTCTACCAGGCAGCTGGCACCAGCCCCACAAGCATCTGCCTGCGGCGGGAGGCTGAGCCTGAGCTGGAGCAGACAACTGTGCTGTCCATCCAGAGTTGTCTTCCCAAGCAGCTGAACAGCAACAGCCATTGCTGGGAAATCTCCACCACCTTCCATGAGTGACTCACAACATTTATCCGACAATTCATGCTTGCAAGAGACTGCAGCATGGCAATGAGTCATTCATGAAATTGTATCCGGCCATGGATTTACGTACACCTGCAAGGGGAAGGCCAGCTGGAGGAGCCCCCAGGATGTCACAGGTCAGGAAGCATTAGGTCTCCAAAACTGAGTGACAATCCTTTAACAAAATACCTTGACAAGGAGGTGAAACCATAGCCCAGACATGAGGAACTCATTGCAGATGTCTGTCACCAAAACTGTGTATAGCCCCAGCTTCTTTTTAAAATTTATGCAGTATTATTAATTGCTAATCAATAAAAACTAGCAAAGCATGCAAAAATCCAAAGTGGATGATATTCTACCATGGTGACTTCTGAGTTACAAAGCCACTTGTCTTGCAGAAGACACTTCAGCTTAGTCTGAAACTTATGATATCTAAAACAAGTGAATCCAGTTTACTTCACAGGGCATCACAAAAACTTCATGTTCCCAAAAATTCAGACTATTTTTGGACACCAGTAGCAGCAGGCCCCGTCAGCATGACGGAGCACTAACCCTCACCATGTGAGCACAATTCTGGGTAATGCAGACTAGGGTCTCAATCTGTTTGTTCACATCCAAAAGCATCGTTCAGACAGGTCTACTTACGATATGTGCTTGGGAATGTCCTCCTCCTTTTTAAAGCGTCCTGCCCATACTAACACCTTTTTATCAAAATTTGTAGGCCTTCTGTCATTTTTGAAAACTTTGTAACCTGTAAGAGATTTTATAAAAGAAAACAATGAGCTAAGCTTGAAGAAGGGAAGAGGACAAAAGCTGTCATTACAGGGGGAAAAGGATTGAAAGTTCAGAATGGCACTTTTCTGTTCTGTGAGAGCCAAATGTGCTTTCTAATGTCAAAAGGACTCAGCAGCTGGTGTGAGATGCTTTGTTACATTTGCAGCTTATTTCATTTTGCTTAATTTTTTTTTTTGTTTAGGTAGGTTTTAAATTAAAAATCTCTTCTAACCTTCCTGATTAAGGGGGGGAAGGATGCAGGGCTGAAGTCACCCAAGCCTGCAGCATGCTCTCTGCTCTCACCCATCTTGCTTTTAAATGGCCCAACTAGTGAGTTAAGCAAAAAGCAAACAGCACTAATAACTCCTCGACAGCATCCCTTCTAAAATAAAAATCTCTTCTAACCTTCCTGATTAAGGGGGGGAAGGATGCAGGGCTGAAGTCACCCAAGCCTGCAGCATGCTCTCACCCTGCTAGCATCTTGCTTTTAAATGGCCCAACTAGTGAGTTAAGCAAACTGCCAGCAGCACTAATAACTCCTCGACAGCATCCCTTCTAAAAGCGCTGATGGAGAGATGAGGTCTGTTAAAATACAGCCTGGTGGGAGGCTGGCAGACATTCTCATGCAAGCTGGGTACCACATTACTGTACTCTAATGATGATACATTACACCCCACCAGACTACCACGGTGATGCCATTAGCATGCTGTCACCGCAAGCACAATGAGAAAGGGACTCTGGCTCCTCTTGATGGAAACAAGCCCAACGACAGGCCACGACAAAGGCAGTGGCAGGGAGACCCTGCAAAAATAGGGTAAGCAATGGCTAGCTAAAATCCTGGCTTTTGCATTGTACAGGTGGTCATCACGAGGTAGCTGGGACTGCTCACACACCCAGGTAGGTGCACCCAATATGCTAGGTTACAGTGCCCTGTGCTTGCAAATGTGGCACTGGTGTTTAGAAATGCCCTGTGGGTGACCAGGGCATGCAGGAAGGGACAGGCATGAAGATGCCCACAGTCTCGGTGTCCTGCACTCCCTGGCTGTTGCTGGATTGCTGGTGCTTGGCTGAAAGGAGATCACTGCTGCTACGGAACAGGGCACAGGATGCATCTCTTCCTGCCTGAGCTGAGATGGTGAAATTACATTAAGTGCCTTGGCCCCAGGCCTGCTCATGCACACCAGGACTTGTGAATGGCTGAAAAATCCCGGGTGTAAATCTTGGCACCCAGACCCCCAGGTAAATTTAATCTCCTATTTCTCTTACAGAGTGCCATCGAGACCAGGAGAGCTACATCTGAAATATCAGCAAGTGTCTGAATCAGTTCTGCAGCAAGCAGTAGGATGGATCACTAAAAGGACAGGCTCCATCCCAGGAAAGACAAGGGCAAAGCCCCATGCTGGAGACCCACAGCCATCCCATGGGAGCACAGGCAGCCCCATGCAGCCCAGCCTCGCTAGGGTGAGGAGTCTGCAAAGGCATGACGAAGGAGGTGGTGGTACAGATTAAAAAGAGAAACTATCTCCATGCCAGGGAGCTTGCCCATGTGGGAGCAGTCCATGCCTGCTGCCTGCCAGGTAAGCCAGGGCACTGCCTGCCACAAGCACGCACAATTGTGAATGCAATCTGGCAGGGAGCACTGGGGGGAGCAGAGGGGTGCAAGTCTGCCACTTGCACCAGCCGTGCACATGCGGGGACATGCACCGGTCCTCCTCTGGAAACCTGGCAGCTGCATACAAGGAGGAACATTTATTTATTTTAATTAACAGGTTCCCTGACATGAAGTATCAGTTTGTATTTGCTGCCATAGGAGGAGGACTATTTAACGCAAAAAACTTTATCCCTGTGCATTGTGCTAATCAGAGCTCTCAATTTGCTGTGTCTTGGGAGCGTTTGTAACCCCAGGAGATGCAGCACTGCAGTAACACAGCCACAGACAAGAACAAGGATCATTTTCTCGCCCTTTCCTGCAAATACCCTTTCCCCTCCGTGCTGCAGCATGAAACAGCGACCAAAGACTTTCTACCCACCTGGATTAGCTGTCTGCAAAGCCGCATCCTGAGCACCCTTTGCTTTGTCGCCGATGGCTCTGGCAGGGTGCAGGACTGGCCGAGCCACCTGCCGCCACAGCCTGGGGCTGTGCCCCAGCAGCCTCCCCAGCATCCTGCCCCGGCTGGCACCGGGCCACTGCCTCCCCACTGGCCTAGGAGCACGCAGGGCGACCAGCAGAAGCCCAGAAGGCTGCTTCTAGGAGTTATTAACATAAAACTACCCCTTCCTGTAAGAAGGGAGTAGCATGCATTTCCACCCTGGCTGCCAACAGTTTTTGCTTGCGTCACGATGACTAGTTAAATTTATCGCCCGTGTTTACCAAAACGACACACCTTCCAAGCTAGGTGGGCAGAGATCACTGCTGCAGCAGCTCACGCCCAGCCCAGGTTCTGCCCCAGGCTCTGCATCCCAAGGAGCTGCTCAGGAGAGCAATCGGTATTTACATTATTTTCTCAGTCCTTACTATGGCAGGACTGAAATAAGACAGTGTGCTATATTTCCCCAAAGATAGGCTTAGTGACTGCTAATTATCACAGCCAGTTAGAGTTCTTAATTTTTCTCAGCTAAAAAATAATCTTGCAAATCAGTTGTGTTAAACAGACTTTTTGAAGAGGAGCAGCATTTTCCCTATCTCAGAATAAATGTGGTTTGGCGGAAGAAAACTAAGGCCTATGTTCGTGGCTATAAATGCAGATGGGGAGTCCATCTCACATCCAGACTGCAAACTTTCCTGGCAAAGAAATATATTTCAGCTATATATTTCAGTTTTAAATCAGTAAACTAAGAAATTATGTCACAAACCTCAGGTGATGTAGTATTTGTCAGTCAGTAAAATTGTCACTGAAATGTAGCAGTACCTATAAAGTATTTGCCCTCTTTGAATTCAATCTCCACGAAGTCTAGATAGTGCTGGATGTTTTCCATAACATCAGCTGTTCTAACCAGAGAATGAACCAAAACCAATGCTATTTTGTCACTTTGACATTTCTCCTGCATTTTGCACAAAATTCTCCCTGATGGGTCGGGAAATGGAAATGCAAAATACTTGTCTCATTTGGAGCAGTGGGGTATTTACTGGCCTTAGATGTACAAGGCTCTAAAGCTGATTTACAATTAGGGAAAAAAGTTCCATTTGAAAGGGAAGAAGCAATTGCTGAAAGGAAAATTTTCAGAACTGTTTAGTAATACTATCAAATGCAATATTGCAGATAATCAACGTGTGTCTAATAGCAAGGGGAGGAACTGCAAGGGAATAGAAGTGTGTAGCAAGGGGAGGAACTGCAAGGGAATAGAGCTCCGGATGCTGGCAAGGATATTCTTTAAGGGCTGAGAGGATAAAAGATGTGAGACAGATCCAGCTCCTGGCCCCAAGGAAAAACTCTACCGTTTATGGAGACATTTCTATTTTTTGAGAACACGAAGTTATTGATACTGAGGAAAGAAGAAACTTAACACGGTTTTTCCTCTTTCATGAAAGCTCCACAATACCTCCGGACATAACACAATATGTTTAGCTTAATTTGCTTATAATTTGGTAAAGCAAATTAGATCCATTTCCAGATTAGGAACCCATACAGAAAATAAATGGTAGTTTGAGCTTCCAGCTGCAAACAAGCAGAAATCAGTGGTTGTGATTATGCTGGAATAAGCAGAAGGGAAACCTGGTAAAGTCACTGAGGATATTTGTGTCCTGCTCAGGATTTCCCTGGGGGAAGATGGGTGTGAGGAAGAGGAAAGGTGCATTTATAGCATGAAGTTTACAGGGCTCAGCACCTCTGAGCATCCCCGCAGGCCCCCTTCTCACCTTGCAGAGATGCTGCTGAGTGGAAAAGAAGCATTGTACGCATGGACATCCCTCGCTCCCCAAGCCGGGTGGGCAGGAGGGTCTGGGGGGCAGTGGATGGGACGTGCTGTTGCGACGCTCACGTTGCACTTGGAGCCGCCCACCCCCACAGGGGCTCCGGCTGTGCAGAGCATTTTCACTTTAACAGGCACTCTCCAAAATGCTTATTGCAAAAGTGACTGTCTTTACATCGTGGCTGAATATGGATTTGAAGATAATGAAAGAACATTTTTATTTTATCTCTTAGTTTCTCAAATGTGGAGAAAATCGTGGGTTTTTCAGGCCTTCAGTGCTTATCCACCTAGGGGTTGCCAATTGTTTCCTCTAGAAGACACACCAGCTAACAGCTGTATTAATCACATCTGCTGTGAGCAAAAAAGCACTTCAGGATTTATTATGCCAGCATTTAGAAGTGCAAAGACACGGAGATCCTCATGAAACCACAAAGGCAGTTACTTGCTCCTGAATTTTACTTGTTTCTTTGGCACCATGAATGCTTAATGCTGGGGTGGGTTTTACTGCAGTGCATGAAAGCTAGTAAAAAGCTATATACACCACTGCGTTAGGAAATCAAGCTTTCCCTTGTGTACTGTGGTTCTCTCTCTGGCCCAGAGCATCTTGAATCCCTTCCTGAACAGCAGAGAGATGCAGAATGCTGAGACCAAGGTAGCCTTGTATGCAGCCTGATGGCCTTAGTCCTCCTTAGAGATGTTTTGTGCCCAGCCCAGTACATGCACCTCCCCCGGCCCAGGTTACAAAACATCCCCATGAGGCTCATCCATTCACTCCCCTCACCAAGCCATCACTTGATACCCATCAGTGACTCATTAGCAAAGTGCAACCATTATTTCATGACCATTAAGCTCACAGACAGGGACTTTATTGTATACCAGTAACAACTTGTTCAGAGATGCAGAATTAGCAAAACTAGGCTTAAAGCATAATCTTCTCCTCCTCCTGCATCCTTCTGCCAGGAGAAGAGCAGGACCCCAGCTCCTCAGCAAGCCCTGGACAGTACAGATAACAACTCACACACTGACTAGCTGTACAGACACCCCCCAGGCTTCCTCTGACCCTCACTGCAAGGGGAGAGCACAGATCTGAAGATTTTTGAGTTACAAAGGAGCAGACTAGCTCAGAGAGAGCAGAGGATGGTTCGCAGCTGTGGTGGTGGTGCAGACTCTTGACATTTTTGTTTTCTGTGTGAGAGTGATATGTAGTTGTAACACTTGCTGCACACTGGTGCCAACACTGAAGATGGAAAACTAAACACAAAACCTCACAGGACTCCATCCCGGTTCTGCATCATCTTCACACCCCTTCTGCCGCCTTGGACTCTGCTCTTGCAGCTGACTCCACAGCAAGAACTAGCAGCCAGTCATCCTCCCCTCCCTAAATGTACACAAAACCCATTGCAGAACTGGAACTGAAAGGCCACAATATAAAATCCATTGCTCTTTGATTTCTGACTGACTTTATACTGTCATTCCCAGTACCTTAGTTCTGGTTATTGTCAGCCTATTATAGCAATGAGAAACTTGGACTCTGGTTCTCTTCACCTGTTCTTCTTTTCCTGCTTTCAACAGCCACAGGAATGGAAAAGTTTATTCCTCCAGAAGCCCCAGGTTCCCACACATCTTTTTACATCTCCTTGTTAATTTTCGTAAGATCACACAACAAATTTTTTTAGTCATATACACAAAAGAATTCATAGGAGTATTCAACCAAAAAAAGTATTACTCTGTAAAGCTCTTTTCATGTGCAGTGTCCTCAAAACCAAATGGTTTACCATCAGGCTCTGTTTTGCATGCCATACAAACTTTTTACATGAGGGCCATGACGAGGAGCAGAAGATAATCTTATCTTAAAATTCTTTGCCTTCCCCCCATTTAATTAAATATGCAGCAGAGCTCTGTCTTGGTTCCTAGATGAGATAAACAAGCAATCCTGGATGGGCTCGTGACTCATGAAATTCTAAGTGAGTCAAGAAATATTCCTCCATGAAACTGTATTCTCCAGCAGCGCAATTTGACACAGCAAGAGCAATGAATTGCTTTGAAATGTCTCACTTACCTGCAGACTCCCAGCCCAAGAACCCATTGCTCCTCTTCAGGGTCTCCAGGGAACAGCACTCCCAGGGCTTCAGTTCTCTCCAGCAGGTCAGTCACATCATCCCCATTTCAGGAAATCATCTACCCTAAGGAAATTCAAATGCAAATCCCAAGAAACTAAAAGCTTCTTAACTATTTCTCACCGTGGCCAAGTTGAATCAAGGGACCAGTCACAGCATCTTACAGCAAAACCAGCACTCAGAAAACAAGCACCAGCATGAGGCTTTAATCACTTCAGGACACTTGGATTCATTTTTTTATAATCTTGAGTATTATCAATAAAACAAGGCATCTGCTAAAAGAGACCAGTGACAAGGAAGGAGTCCCTCCCCTCTTTCTGTGTTAAACCAGCTTTGCTTTAAAAAAAATGAAATCAGGATTCCCCTATGCAGTTACCGAACGGTCCTGCATTTTCTACCAATATTGCCCCTATTCCTCCAAATTTGGTAGTATCACTACCATTTGAAAAATCTTGCCTAGCAACCATGAATAAGACACTAAGCCACACTACTTAAAAAAAAACAAAAACAAACCCACAAACTCCACTGACTCTGGTAAATCTTGCCTAATTTATACCATATGAGCCTTTTGGCATCAGTCTCTTAATAGGGAAAGGTAATTGATGTAACACACTTGGTATTTTCTACAACAGGAGCAGTCATTTCCCCTCAGGTGAAAAAGGTCTGAGCTGTTCTCTATGTCTGCCACTAACACAAGAATGAGCAGGATTTGGTCCCGAGTGCGTCGAGTCTGAGCAGAAGTGCCCAACGTTACAAGGATGAGGATCTCCAAATGATCCTTATCTAGGAAGATTCATCTTCTCTGCCATTAAACACATTTATTCTTAAGGGAGTTAAACCCCAATTAACAGCCTGGATGTTTTGCTGCTTAAGGTGTGCTCAACTCTGGAACAGCATGAGAACCCACTCCTACCTCTCCTGGTGATAATGGAAATGCCTGCAAACAAGAGGCACTGCTGTAGCCAAGAGGACCCATAAGCCACACTTGCTTCATTCCCTTCCACCGGCTTCAGGTTTTTAGCTAAGATGCAAAAGAACATTTGTTGGACACAGGAATGCAGTTATGAATTGTCTTAATAGGAGCCAAATTCAGTGGAGGTTGTGAGCTGGACCTGGAGTCGCTAACCTCTGCAAACA